GCCTTAATCATGGTGGACCACCCAGCCCGGAGGCCTTAGTCATGGTGGGTTTGTCGTCTTCAACCACCCAGCCCGGAGGCCTTAGTCATGGTGGGTTTGTCTTCCTCAACCACCCAGCCCGGAGGCCTTAGTCATGGTGGACCACCCAGCCCGGAGGCCTTAGTCATGGTGGGTTTGTCTTCTCAGCTCGAGGTTCCGCCACTTCCCCTGGTCGGCCCTGTCGAATTGGTCGAGCCGAGTGGTGTGAACTTTGAGGATGAGCCGTTCGACGAGGATATTGAAGTCGGGCGGCCTAACACGGAGCCGATTGTGGAGGGAGGTGTTCGGACCGAGCCAATCACCGATGGAGGCGAAGACGCCGCTGAGAAGTCGACAGCCGACTCCCAGCGGGCTTAGGTTATGTTATTATTTTTTTTTTCTGTTTGTCCTTTATTTATAATGTTTATTGTGCTATTTTTACATCGTCACCTTCTCGTGGTTGTGGCTTTTTATTTTTATGTTTGTTTTTCTTTTTTTACCTTACTGTCCTCTCCCAACCCGTTTCGCGAGCTGGTCGAAGTCGAGCGACAGTTTCAACAGCATTATAGCTGTTGAACTTAAGTTTTTCGAGTCGCCCTCTCCCAACCTGTTTTGCGAGCTGGTCGAAGTCGAGCAATAGTTTCAACAGTATTATGGCTGTTGAACTTGAGTTTTTCGAGTCGTCCTCTCCAAACCCGTTTTGCAAGCTGGTCGAAGTCGAGCCGAATTGACCGGCTATATAGCCGTTTCGGAAAATTCGATATTCTGACTATCGTGCTGAAATTGATGCGAAAAAGGGGAGGGCGGTCATTACTTCTTCTCGACTTTAAGATTCCCGACTTCCTTGGTTACCTCTAATGTCTTGCTATTTGGGTCGAATTTTTCCCCATTAATGATTATTTATTCAAGATATGGCTGACACTGTCGCCTCCCAACTTATTTCGAATTTCAAATCCTTTAAGTAACGCGCGTCATGTCAACCGCTGACTCCTCGCATTCTGTGCCTTATCACGATCGTTTTCTTGTGCTCCTAAGACAACTTGTTGTTTGAGCTATCTTTCACAGTCGCGAGTTTTTATAGCTTCGCCGAGATTTTGCTCAAGACATGCAACCTTTGTTGCTTGAGTCGACTTTTTTAGTCGGGCTTTTTAGTCTTGCCGAGACATTGCTCGAGGCATGCAACTTTTGTTGCTTGAGTCAATTTTTTTAGTCGGGCTTTTTAGCCTTGCCGAGACATTGCTCGAGGCATGCAACTTTTGTTGCTTGAGTCGACTTTTTTAGTCGGGCTTTTTAGCCTTGCCGAGACATTGCTCGAGGCATGCAACTTTTGTTGCTTGAGTCGACTTTTTTAGTCAGGCTTTTTAGCCTTGCCGAGACATTGCTCGAGGCATGCAACTTTTGTTGCTTGAGTCGACTTTTTTAGTCGGGCTTTTTAGCCTTGCCGAGACATTGCTCGAGGCATGCAACTTTTGTTGCTTGAGTCGACTTTTACAATCGGGCTTTTTAGCCTTGTCGAGATTTTGTTCGAGGCATGCAACTTCGTAGTTGTTTAGATTGACTTTCCATTGTGGTCAAGGAAAAACACATCGAGCACAGCAAAATATGATAACAATCGATCATTCTCATTAGCATCACCAAAAATATAGTTACACGAGCAGGATAATCGTAAAGAATACCCCGTGTATCACAAAATCATCAAACACATTTTTCTTGTCCTAATACCAAGTTCAAATGTTGTGGAGACTCGAGACTGTCCAGCCCGAAGGCCTTCGTCGTGCCAGATTTGTGTTCAGGGCTTCACATATGTCTCTTTTTCTGGATTTTGTCAATTATCCATACATTGATTCGAAATATATCCATGTAAGCTACAAACCCAACAACATTTCTCCACAATATATTCGAATGGTGCACATTTCTCCAAGAAAAAATGCTAAGAAATTCATTGCGTTGATAAATCATGTCGACCAAAACAGGTGTCGAGAGTTGAGATTAATTGTGTACCTTAAAGTCGAGAATACCGTTGGAAATTATCCAACCTTACCAAAAGAAACTTGATTTCTGTCTCCAAGATTGTCATCAGTGATTGGCATCATCAAAACTCAACCTCCATTGTCATCTCACATTGATAGATTCGTGCTCGCTCATTTTGGGTTCCTCGTCAAGAATTCAAAGAGATGTCGTTATCAACGTACATTGCAAGAGGGCATGAGCACTTAGTTGTTAAGCTTAATCGGTCCATTTATGGACTGAAGCAAGCTTCAAGATCTTGGAATATTCGGTTTGATGAGGTAATCCAGTCATATGGATTCATCCAATGTCCAGATGAGCACTGTGTATACAAGAAGATTAGTGGAAGCGTGGTGGTATTTCTTGTGCTATACGTGGATGACATACTTCTTATTAGCAACAACAAGAAAGAGTTGTCGGACGTAAAGGTGTGGTTGTCTAAGCAGTTTGATATGAAGGACTTGGGTGAAGCAGGACACATTCTTGGTATCAAGATCATTCGTGATCGTGAGAAGACAATGATGTGCTTATCCCAGTCTTCATATATAGATACTGTCTTGGCTAGATTCAGTACGCAGAACTCTAAGAGAGGTACATTACCTTTCAGACATGAGTACCTTTATCTAAGGAGTTGTCTCCTAAGACGACTGAGGAGATAGAGGACATGAAGACAGTTCCTTATGCTTCGGCAGTAGGAAGTCTCATGTATGCAATGTTGTGCACTAGGCCTGATATTAGCTACGCCGTTGGCATGGTAGCGATATATCAAAGTAATCCAGAAAGAGAACATTGGGCTGCAGTGAAACATATACTCAAGTACCTGCGAAGGACTAAGGAGTACATGTTAGTTTACCGTGCAGACAGTTTGTCTCCGCTGGGTTACAGCGATTCTGATTTTCTGTCAGAAAGGGACGAAAGTAAGTCAACCTCAGGTTATGTGTTTAACTTGGGAGGTGGAGCTATTTCATGGAGGAGTGCTAAGCAGAAGTGCGTAGCAGACTCCACTATGGAAGCCGAGTACATCGCAGCCTCTGAGGCAGCGAAAGAGGCAGTTTGGCTCAAAAACTTCTTAGTGGACTTAGAGGTGATTCCGAGTTTGCCACGTGTTATTACCGTGCACTGTGATAACAGTGGAGCAGTAGCAAACTCAAGAGAACCACGAGCCCACAGAGCAAGCAAAAACATAGAGCGCAAATACCACTTTATCAGAGATATTGTGGCAAGAGGAGAAGTTGAGATCACCAAGATTGCATCAGAAGACAAGCTAGCTGATCCTTTTACGAAGAGTTTGCCGGAGAAGGTCTTCGCCAAAC